CTTAGTTCTCTCTCCTCCTCCATCTGGAGCATTTCTGCATTACTGTCCTCAATATTTATAATTCTTTCCTCTGTGTTGTCAGCTCTGATGCTTCAGGCTTCCAGATTTGTCTTTATCGCCTCTATTGTTTTGTTTTTTTGTGTGTGTGAGGAAGACCAGCCCTGTGCTAACATTCGATGCCAATCCTCCTCTTTTTTTCTGAGGAAGACAGGCCCTGGGCTAACATCCGTGCCCATCTTCCTCCACTTTATATGGGATGCTGCCACAGCATAGCCTAACAAGTGGTGCGTTGGTGCGCTCCCGGGATCTGAACCAGCAAACCCCGGGCCGCCGCAGTGGAGCACGTGCACTTAACCGCTTGCGCCACTGGGCCGGCCCCTCCTCTATTCTGTTTTTCATCTCTAAGATTTCTGATTGGTTTTTTCTATAGTTTCAATATCTTTTGTGAAGAAACTCCTGATTTCATTGCATTGTCTGTCTGTGTTTTCTTGTATTTCATTAAGCTTTTTTATGATGGCTATTTTGAATTATCTGTCATTAAGGTTATACATTTCTGTGCTTTCCAGGTTGACTTCTGGGTGCTTGTCATTTTCCTTTTGGTCTGGAGATTTAATATATTTTTGTATGGTGCCTGTCGGTGTTGGCTTACTTTTCCTCATAGTGAAAATATATGGTCACAGTTTCCTCTTGTTGCAGCTGGGTGGGGGTCAAGGGCTGTGTATTCTGGTCTGCCTCAATCCACGGGCACTCTAGTTGGCCCCTGGCTGATCTGAGGTGTGGCTGAGTGGAGGCTTCTGTGGGGGAAGCATAGGAACAGCTGGAGCTGGAGCGTGGGAACAGCTGAGACTGGAGCACAGCTAGGCCTAAGCAGCTGGGGCTCAGGTGCGGTGGGTTGAAGCAGTTGCAGCTGAAGTGCCGCTGGGCCAAAGAAACACGAGCTGGAGTCCCACTGGGCCGAAGAAGCTGGAACTGGAGTGCGCTGGGCCAAAGAAGCTGGAACTGGAGTGCGCTGGGCCGAAGAAGCTGGAACTGGAGCACACTGGGCCAAAGAAGCTGGAACTGGAGCACACCAGGCCAAAGAAGCTGGAACTGGAGTGTGCTGGGTCAAAGAAGCGGAACTGGAGTTCACTGGGTCAAAGAAGGAAGAGCTGGAGCACCACTGGGCCAAAGAAGCTGGAACTGGAGCATGCCAGGCCGAAGAAGCTGGAACTGGAGCACACTGGGCCAAAGAAGCTGGAACTGGAGCGCTCCGGGCCAAAGAAGCTGGAACTGGAGTGCGCTGGGCCAAAGAAGCTGGAACTGGAGTGCACTGGGCCAAAGAAGCTGGAACTGGAGTGCGCTGGGCCAAAGAAGGAAGAGCTGGCGTGCCGCTGGGCCAAAGAAGCTGGAACTGGAGTGCGCTGGGCCAAAGAAGGAAGAGCTGGAGTGCCACTGGGCCAAAGAAGCTGGAACTGGAGCACACTGGGCCAAAGAAGCTGGAACTGGAGTGTGCTGGGCCAACGAAGCTGGAACTGGAGTGCGCTGGGCCAAAGAAGGAGGAACTGGAGTGCCACTGGGCCAAAGAAGCTGGAACTGGAGTTCGCTGGGCCGGAGAAGGAGGAGCTGGAGTGCACTGGGCCAAAGAAGCTGGAACTGGAGTGTGGTGGGCCAAAGTTGCTGGTGCCAAGTCAGCTGGAGCCTGAGCACAGCCCAAGCTGAAGCCGCTGGAGCCAGGGGGAGTGGGGGCGGTCAAGCCAAAGGAGCTGGGGCCGTGGCACGGGGAAGCCGGGGAAGCTAGGGCTGTGGCTTGGTCCAGCTGGAGCAGCTGGGGCTGTGGCGTGGTGGGGCCTGAGCTGCCACTGCCTCTGGTGTGGGGACACAGGCTTGCCCCGCTGCTGGTCAGGCCCGGGGACCTGGGGGCCCCGGCCTGTGGGGGTGGGGCATAGTCACGTTGCCCCTGCTGGTGGGCCCAGGCGCCTGGGGGCCGCTGTCTCTGGGGAAGGGGCTGAGCTGAAGCCCTGCTGTGCTGAAGCACCAGTTGGGCGGGCCAGGTGGGGGAGGGGTGCTTACTTTTGCCTCCCCGATCTCAGAAGTTTTTTGCCTTGCTGTTGCTCCCTGCTCTCCTGAGGGGCTAGCTTGTTGAAAGTACGCGTGCAACAGTTCTACTCCCTCCATAGGGAGATCCCCACAGGCTGTGAGGGATCTTGGAGAGCGCTGGTTTTCATGCGGTGGGCCGCCCCTCCTCCTCCTCTGAGAGCCGCCTGGTCTCAGTCTCTGGGTCGCAGTCCTTGGGGAAGGAAGGGAGCTCCTCTTACCTCCTTCCACTTACTCTGGGGATTCCAGCACCTCTGTCCTTGGGTGTATGGCTGCTTCAGACGTCCCTGTGTTGTGTGAATAGCTTCTGTTGGAATATGAATGTCCTTTTTGTTGTCTTAGAGGGGGAGTGTTCAATGGGAGAAGCTCACTCCACCATGATGCTGACGTCACTCTCAAAGAGTTTAAGTAATAAAGGAGAAATGTCTCTTTTATTGTAGGATGGTAGTTTATTTAGACCTGTCACATATTAAAAGCCATGTATAAATCAGCACAGGTTTATCATTAAGGGAAAAATTACTTTTCACTGTAATTTAGTCCAAGATTTTGAAGTTGCAATCCTATTTTGTGCTAGGTGAAAAGTCAAGAGTTTTTTCACTATCCTTGGGCTTTGAAATTGCAAACTATGAAAAAGGGGAAGAGGACAAAGGCCAAGAAATATTCTGCCTTATAAAATTTCCTCCAAAAGTTAGCCATAGTACAGAAATGTGGATTTCAGCATGAGGTAGGGGAAGGGAAGGATGAATAACAAAAGAATGAGGAGAAAGATAGAAGAGAACAAAGATAAATGAAAGTGAGATTTTAAAAAACAAACCAACAAGGGTTTGGGATAACACGAAAGGAGAAGGCATCACAAATATGTACGGAGATCCTCTACACTGGAGATATACAGCCTTGCCTGCACTTTAAAAAAAAACAACAACAGGCACAAACTTAAAAACTAGAAACAGCCCAAATACCACCAACTGGTGTGTGGATAAACTGTGGTACATGTTACATGATGGACTAGTACTCAGCAATAAAAAGGAACGAACTTCTTATTCATCCAACAACATGAATGAATCTCAAATGCATTAACGCTAAGTAAAAGAATCCAGACTCAAAAGATTACATACTTTATGATGCCATTTATGTAACATTCTGAAAAAGGTAAAACTAATGAAACAGAAAATAGATGAGTGGTTGCTGGAGTCGAGCGGGGAAAGGAAAAAGAGGATTGACAAAGGGGCCAAGGAAATTCTGGGTGCAATGACAGTATGCATTTGTCAAAATTCACAGCACTGTACACTTACAAAAGGTGAGTGTTACTGTGTGTAAATTATACCTCAGTAAACATGACTTTTGAAATCTGACACAAGCTCCATCCTCAGTTAGTCTAAAGGCTAATGAGAAAGGCTGCCTAAAAACAAGTGCAGTGATATAAATGGATAAGAAACTTTAAATATAATTGTTACAGAAGAAAAGTTAGTAGGAATGGCTGTAGGTTTACTCTGGTGAAGGGAAAAGTGAAGATTGTTAGAAATATACATAGGAACAACAAGCAAAATGTGGGAAAATTAAAGGAGAAATAAGTAAATAAAGTTAAAATAGAGCCAGCCCTGATGGCCTAATGGTTACAGTTCTGCCCCACCGCGGCCCAGGTTCGCTTCGGGGTCACAGAACCACACCACCCATCTGTCAGTTGTCATGCTGTGGTGGCGGCTCACGTAGAGAACTAGAAGGACTTACAACTGGGATATACAGCTAAGTACAGGGGCATCGGGGAGAAGGAAAAAAAATTAAAATAATATCACATGCATTGGCTCATTTATTTCTCATGAATAAATAGAATGACTCAGAAAGGCATGAAAGGGGAAGGAGGGAAAAATTGGTAAAGTTATTAAAAAAAAAAAAAAGAAACAAATGTATTTAAAAGACCTTAAGTTGAGGAAAAGACTTTGAGGTGGCCTTTGGATGTTGCCTGATATTGAGCCCTGAAATTTACAAAGCTTTCTGAAATCTCTGTACAAACATCTAGACTTTCTTTCTGAGACTGACTCCTATCTCAGTTATCTTTGATATAATTATCTCTGGTAAGTACTGTATGAAAATATTTACTATGTAAATAAACTAGGGCACCAAGTGAAATGTGATTGTCATATCACAGCTTCTTTCTAAATAATTAAATCACATAATTCAGGGGTTGATGATGAATGAAATTGGTAAAACAAGGGTATAGACCATGCACTCTCTGTAAGTGTTTGAGAGTAAATACTCTTATTAGTTGTATCCAACCAGCACAATGCCTAGCTCAATGGCCACTTACATAGGATGTGGCCAATAATATCTCATTGGTTTGATTTAATGTTGATTTTGAAGGTCAGCACCCAGAGCAGTATAGAAAAAAATAGCTTCTATTAAATCTGAAACTTTTTGATCATGAATGAGCTTTGTCCTAAAAATCATTATTTGTTTTGTTTCAAGTCCACATATCATTCATTACAACTTTTGTTTTATACCCTTTTGTTTTAAAGGAGAAGATCATGGAAATTAAGAAGCAATTAGGAGAAATCACTAAGGAGTTTGTCCAGGTAACAATAAAATGTATTTATAACTAATGAAGAAAAACAGTTCTTCAAAGAAATCTCAGATTAAGAGAATTTAGTGAATGGAATCTAAAATTTGATGAAAGATACACTTGGAATTTCCAGGATAGACCTGGAAGAGAACTTACTGTCCTTTAGACTATACTTTCATTTTCAGAAGAGAAAAGTGTGACTCAGAAAGATGAAGTGACTTGTCGATATTTCCAGATGAAAAGAATCCATCTTGCTCTTTCTCTCTCATTAAAAAAAAAAAAAAATATATATATATGTATATAGATATATAAATATATACACACACGCACATACACACATACATACAATATACAGGCATATAGTTTTTTCTTCTAGCAAAAGTAATACATGCTTATTTTAATAATTAAAACATTATAGAACTATTCATATTAAAAATGAAAATCCCACTCCCTCAAAGATAAACATGATGAACTTTTTAGTATATTTATATTCTTCCAAATTTTTCTACATTGTTATTGGTTTTTTTTAACTTTATTTTGTGTGTGTGTGTGTGAGGAAGACTGGTTCTGAGCTAACATCCATTGCCAATCCTCCTCTTTGTGCTGAGGAGGATTAGCTCTGAGCTAACATCTGTGCCCATCTTCCTTTATTTTGTATATGGGATTCTGCCACAGCATGGTTTGATGAGTGGTGTGTAGGTCCGCACCTGGGATCCGAACATGTGAACCCTGGGCTGCTGAAGAGGAGCACACGAACTTAACCACTACACCACCAGGCTGGTCCCCATTGTTATTGTTTTAATGGGTTACAGTATACATATTGTTTTGCAACTTGTTTTTTTTCACTTAGCATTTTTTTCTTCAACAAGTATCTCTGCCAATAAATGTCATTTTACCTTTTCCTTTTCACTTCCTATATAATGAAAGATTTGATTTTTGGATTTATTAAATTTATTTTGTTGGATGTTTGGGCTATATAATCAATATTTGCCATACAAACTATGCCTCAGAAATCCATATCTTTGCTGGCTTTCGAAAGTACTTTAAGAACCAGTTTCTAGTAATGGCATCTCGAGAACAAATCTTTCTTGAATCCCAGAGCACTGTTCTTCCTGCTATAGCTCTGCTTTTCAAAGTATCCTGCAAGTCTGTTATGGGATGATTAATTAAAAACCTTTAAAAGCATTATTTACTCCTGACATATGTGCAACTGGCATTCATGTGTTAGAAGGGGATGGTTTGCTTTCAGGCGGTGTCTTGATCCAACTGATAGAAACCAACACAAACCATCTGTTATCACTGCCTGACAACCTATAGGAGACGTGGGAAAAAAAGAGGAACCAGATACTTTTCGTGGACACTTTTCTTTTCCTAAGCCATAATGCCTGAATATTCAAACTAACGTTATGAGGACTTACATTTATATCTTATAAATTTTAAAATATTTAAAATATATATAATTTTCTTTTTTTTCTCAGAAACATACTATGTTTCTCCAACTAGGGTCCTGGTGGAAGTTTTTTAAAGAAAAAGCAATGAATAGAGAGAAAGATGATTTATAATCAGCTGCTATTATGTAAATGTATACTTCTAAAGTATTGAAAATAATTTTATTAATCTTTTGGTTATTCCTCCTGCAATTTATCATGATTACACTATGAATTTGCTCTAAGAGGAAGGATTTTGCTGAGTAAAAGTAAGTTTCAATGAAGCCACTTTACAACTAAGTCGTGTCAAAATAAGTGAGGTTTCATTGTACAAACCAGAAAAATATAATTTTTATTTTACCTAAAATTGTGGATGTCTTTTCAGGCAGACGCTTGTAATGAAGCTCATGAATTAAAGGAGAAACTCATTGCAAGAATAGAGGTAAGATTTCAGTTACACAAATTCAAATAAGGATAAAATAAAATGATTTCAATCTAAATACAGGAGTAATTTTTTCCCTAAAAGTTGAAAGTGTACCACATACTGGTCCCTTTTAAGACTTATTACCTTCTTTTCCCCTCCTGGCCTTCAGCTTTGGGCCAACAGAACATCTCACAGTTCTGGTGTCCTCCCAACCTCTCCTACATCTGTGCTGCTTCTAAGTCTCCTTCATCTGGAGCTTACCTATTCTTCAAGGCTCAGCTCAGATGTCATCTCCTCTTCCAGACCTCCCCTAATTTCCCCTAGCCGGAAAAATAACTCCATCTCTGGAGTCCTCCCCCAAAATCTTATACATTGAGGTCAATGTGAATGGGTGAATAAAACAATGAATGAATGAATCAACCTGTCACCTGCTCAGAAGTGCCTTATCATCCCACCCATCTAGAGTATGTGTCCCACCACCAAACCTCAGCTACTCTGTCTCATTACCTTATGCATTTTCTCTTTAGTGTGTATCTTAATCTGTAATATCTAATGTGTATGTATCTATGTGTGTGTTTAGTTGTTTATTGCTTGTCCCTCAGTCTCCATAAATGCACATGCAATTCTTTGTCTATTTTGTTAAATAATGAACATGCAAAAGAATGCACATTCCTTGTTTATTTTGTTGACCAGTGTCCTAGAATAGTGTCTGGTATAAGCCACTCAATAAATATGTTTTGCATAGATGAACAAATTGAAAAGATGAATTCAGTACAAGGATAATCATCTTCCTACATCAATAATCCAGTAGTTAGAGATTAGCCTCTGGGTTTCATTTAACTTTCTACCATGGTGCTACCTTACTCTGTGAATGTGTAAGTTTCCTTCTGTTATGAGGGTATGCACCTGCCAATGACCTCCTCGTGTGACTCATTTAACTATATATCATGCAATTTATAATGTGGGCCCCTGGGGTGTTCCAGAGGAAAAGCACTCTGCATCATTGACAATAAGACTGATAGACATCTAGAATCATTTTTTGTAATGCCTTTCCTTTATTTTATTTTATTATTTTTTGGGGTGAGGAAGACTAGCCCTGAGCTAACATCTGTTGCTGATTCTCCTCTTTTTGCTGAAGAAGATTGGCCATGGGCCAACATCCGTGCCCATCTTCCTCTACTTTATATGTGGGAGGCCTGCCACAGCACGGCTTGATGAGTGGTGCATAGGTCCACACCTGGCATCCAAACGTGTGAACCTTGGGCCGCTGAAGAGGAGTGTGGGAACTTAACCACTACATCACTGGGCCGGCCCCTAGAATCATTTTTTAAAAATGATAGTTCATTGCTCTTTTATTCCAGAACTTTTCCAAGGACATGACTCTGCTGAATGCAAAGCTAGGGACATACCAAATGCAAGAAGAGAAAACAGACTCTCAGAGTCCTGAAGAAATGGGTATGGAAGAGAGGGAGCCCCTGCTTCCTCAGGCTCCACCACCCCCTTTAATGCAGAACTCTCCTCCCCGCATTACAATGTGGTGGTAAGTGAGAGAAAGGGACCATTGGGGGCCAGATGAAGGCCCCCATGCATGGACTATAGTAAGAATGAATTTCCTCAAGGGTTGGCTAAAATTTTGCTTTATCTTATTTTATAAATTGTTAATGTTCTTTAAAGTTTGTTTGTTTATTAGAGTCATAGTATTTTTCTTATTGGTTTAGATATAAATTTATTGCATTAGATATACAGATATAGATATATATTTCTTTCTTATTGTTTTAGATAACTATATATATAACTATGTAACTATAACCATAACCATAACCTTAAAGGATGGTCTCTGCAAGCTATGATGCAGCCACCTCTACCAAAGGAACATACCTGCTAAGCAGTTTGGAAGCCTTTGTTAGCTGGACAGCTTGCCTCTCCCTTGTACATTATTGAAGACATACTTACCAGCAAAGTCTGACTCTCTGGATCCCTATCTGTAGTATATATACCATCGTATATACTACACTCTGAATAGTACCCTCCTCTAAGAAAACTTTTCTTATCCTTTATCCCTAACCACCAACCCAGGTAGATTCTTCAGTTCCCTCTTTTGTGTGCACACTATGCCTTGCATATAATTCTGTCATAGAACCCACAGCACATTACTGCAACTAAATTGTTTTAAGTCTGTCTCCTCCTAATACTCCATGGGCTACTTGAAGGCAGGAATCTTGATCACTTTGGGACACAACATATAAAAGATGTTCATCATGCTCAACAAATATTAAATTAATAAATAAGTGTGGAGGGATGTCAACGAAAATGGTGAAGTCAAGACCCCAGAAAATGTCTTCCTCTGTGAAATCGATGAGAGAATTGAGAAAATTGTCAGAATCAATTTTTTCAGAACTCTGGAAATTAAGGCTTTAGTATCCAGAATATATAAAAAAGTCTTACAACTCAACAACAAAAAGACAAATAATCCAATTTTTTAAATGAGCAAAGCACTTGAATGGACATTTCTTCAAAGAAGATACACAAATGGCCAACAAGCACATGAAAAGATGTTCAACATCATTGGTCATTAAGGAAATGCAAATCAAAATCACAATGAACCACAATGAGATACCACTTTACACCACTAAGATGACTATAATTTAAAAGACAAACAATAACAAGCATTGGAGAAATGCGGGGAAATTAGAACCTTCATACATTGCTGGTAGGATCGTAAAATGGTGCAGCCACTTTGGAAAACAGTTTGGCAGTTCCTCAAAATGTTAAACATAGAGTTACCATATGACCCAGCAATTCCACTCCTAGTTATACACCCAAAAGAATTTAAAGTATATGTCCACACAAAAACCTGTACCTGAATGTTCATAGCGGCATTATTCAAAATAGCCAAAAAGTAGAAACAATCCAAATATCCATCAACTGATGAATAAACAAAATGTGGTATGCCCATACAATGGAATATTATTCAGCCACAAAAAAGAATAAAGTACTGATACATGCTACAACCTGGATGACTCCTGAAAACATTATGCTAAGTGAAACAAGCCAGACACAAAAGGCCACATATTATATGATTCCATTAATATGAAATGTTCAAAACAGGAAAATTCATATAGATAGAAAGTAAATTAGTGATTGCCAGCCCTGGGGGTAGTAGGAAATAGGGAGTGACTGTTTATGGGTAAGGGTTTTCTTTATGGGGTGATGAAAATTTCCTGGAATTAGATAGTGGTGATGGTTGTGCAACCTCAAGAATAAACTAAAAGCCATTGAATTATATACTTTAAAGGGTAAATGTTATTGCGTGTAAATTATATCTCAAAAACAAACAAACAGACAAATAAGTAAATAAGTGAATGCCTTTTTTTTTTTTTTTTTTGCTGGGATAGATTCACCCTAAGCTACGACTGTTGCCGATCTTCCTCTCTTTTTTTTTTTTTTCCCTCCCTAAAGCCCCAGTACGTAGTTGTATATTCTAGGTGTAGGTCCTTCTAGTTCTTCTATGTGAGCCACCGCCACAGCATGGCTACTGACAGATAACTGGTGTGATTCCGTGACTGGAAACCAAACCCAAGCCACCGAAGCAGAGTGCCAAACTTTAACCACTAGGCCCTCAGGGCTGGCTTAGTGAATGCCTTTTGATTACCACTTACTTTAATTAATTTTCAGTTAAATTGGTCATCTTTCTTCACATCATTACATCCTAGTTAAGATTGCCTAAGACGTTGCCCAATGTCTTGTCAGAGGACTGGAAACGTTCTGGTTCCATCAAAGCATATTTATACGTTATCTTTTTGAGGAGGTTTATCTTGAAGACTTATTCAATCATTATGTATCAATTTTTCTGTTTTTATAAAAACAGAAACACTGTCACTTCAGACAGTGACCTCTTCCTGGCATTGTCCGCACCCCTCAGTTTCCTTATAGTGGTCCCCTATGTATTAATGTGAACATTTTGGGAAAGATTAAAGATTCTATGCATGGCAAGGTTTGACCAATAAATAAACAAATAGTATTCAAAAGTCAAAAGAATTTTTTGTTCTTCACAGAAGATAAATTCAAAATGAATATAGTTATTGATGATACTAATTTTGGGTTCTATACAGGTGATATCATGAAAAAACTTGTTTTGATTGAGTAGCTATGATGTTTTCCAAAGAGAAATGTCCAAATCTTTTAAAATAAATATTATACATATTCTTTTATTTGCTTAATAATAGAAAATTTAAAAAGGTTTTAAGAGTTATAGCATATTGACTTGTAAATAAAAATCAAATGATTCGGTATTGTCAAGAAATAAATCTGAATGCAACCATACCTAGAGTGTTCACTGTAGGAAAGAAAAACTGAAGGACACACTCTAGACCAAAAGAAAAACAAACAAAACAAAACAAAATAGAAAGAAAGAATGAATGAAAAGGAGACAGGCCAGAAAAATTTTTTTAAAAACTTAGCTGATTACCATATTATAGAGATGGGATTATAGTTTTTTCATTTCTCTGTTTTCAAAATTATCTGTAATTTAGAAAAATTATTTTTCTCTTTAAAAAATTAATGTTTGGGGCTGGCCTGGTGGTGTAGTGGTTAAGTTCACACACTCCACTTTGGCAGCCCAGGGTTTGCAGGTTCGAATTCCAGGCGCAGACCTACGCACCGCTCATCAAGCCATGCTGTAGCGGCATCCCACATACAAAATAGAGGAAGATAGGCAGAGATGCTAGCTCAGGGCTAATTTTCCTCAGCAAAAAAAGAAGATTGGCAATGGATGTTAGCTCAGGGCCAATCTTCCTCAGCACACAAAAAAAAAGATGTAAAAAAAATTAATGTTAAAATGTGTTTCCTTGAAAATGTTCCATTTTAGTATTTCCAAAGATGACTAGTTTGGGAATTTAGGAAGAATAGTGTTTATTTACTAGATATGTTTTGCTCGTGAGTCATTTTTCTTTCACAAGAAGGAACAAATCTAGATTTAGTGCTCCTTGAGGGCAGGACATCTCTGCTACATCTCAGCAGCCTTCAAAGTCCCTTCCTAATAGAGCATTTATAGAACATTGGCTCTTTAATGAATGTGTGAGGTAGAAACAATTTTTCATAACTGCCAAGAGATAGCCAGTGGGGACAATGCCAAGAAACTTGGCTCAAGTTTATAAAATCTACTGAGTTGGGTCACAAAATAGATCCATTGCTAGCTTTAACTGGGCTCTAGATTTTCTCTGCTGAAATGTGTTATAGATGGTAATCAGCTCCATGTAATTGGATTATCTGTGACATTTCTTTTCTTCTTTGTGTTTTTCTGGATTTTCCAGATCTTCTACCCTAATCATGTGTTGCATTTATATTTAGAAAATAATAATGCAAGGACTTAAAAGCAAATAAATAAAATACATCATAGGTACAGCCCAGAAGGAGAAGTCCTCAACGACTTGAAAAAGCTTATATTACTTTATGATGGCAAGTCTGGTGCCAGGACGAAATTGGTAATAGAGAGAGCTGAATTCCATTTGTCACATTGTATTTTGTGTCCGGAAGAAAATCTAATAGCCTGTGCCTTTATTTCCCTCAAATAGGCATCATATACCTTACAAGTGAGGTAGACATGGCAATAATCTGCTCGAGCGTGAGAAGAGCATTTCAAAGGAAAGAGCCCCACAATATCCAGGTTTCATTGTTTCATGACTATAGAATCTTAGAATTCCAATGCCAGCCCTAGCATGGACTTACATGCTCATCTACTCCAAGCTCCTTCTTTTGCAGATGTCAACTGAGGTCAAGAGAAGTTCAGTTACTTACTTAAAGTTATAAAGCTACCTGGGTGGGGGAGCCAGGAGTCACATCAGTGTGGTTTTCTTCAGAATGTTCTTAACACAGGTGTTTTCTTTCCTTGTAGGAAACGTGCACTGAGGATTTTCATCATGTTTTATGTCCTTACCTTCACTGGAGTTTTATGTTACACACTATTTTTTGACGCTACGTTTATCTTTGAAAGGGTGCTCCCTACAATGCTTGGGCGCCGCAGAATGTGGGAACTACGGGAGATTATCGCGCCTTTTTTGAATTTGGAAGTAGAAGACTTGTTACCCTCCTGAAGATACAGAAGTTACCATTACCCTACTGACTTTCTCCCCAATAAAATTCTGGCTGTTCTTGTATTATGGTGGTTAACTTATTTTTCAAAAAATACTATAGGGTGTTTTGCAAAGGACATTGTAGTTATGTGGAAATGGGTTGATCAAAAACCAAAAAAAAATAAAAAGTTTATCTTTACCATTATGACTCACAATGACTTCTTGGATCATTCCACACATTGTTTAAAACATTTACTTCAAAGCTCTCTCTTCTCCCAACCCTGAGAACATCTAGACTAACAGGTATTAGCTGCCTTGGTTGTTTCTCCTATTTTGACCTCTAATGTCTCAGAAAAGAAAGCACAGAATTCCTCTCCATCATTTCCAATTTTCCTTCAGTTGGGTTGGGGCCATATTTGGGTGTAGTGGACATTTCTTTGTTTTGCTCCCTAATATTCACTTCTCCTTTTGGTAACAGCATCCTAATTTTGCTTTGAAAGAACTATCTTTCTTAGTTCCAGAGAGCGTCATTGTAGGTGGTCTTTCAGTCAATGTCCCCTGTCTTCCAATTAATGAGAGTTGGGAATATGTTGAATCAGACTTTCTCTAAGAATGAGAATTTTGAGAAGGATCATACAAAGAAAGGAAATGATTGGAACTTCAATTTTGTGAACTTGCTCATATCTTTTTCTGCTTAAGTTAGACAGATTTGGTTTTCTTGCTTATAATCAAAGGAAGTCTAATTGATACAATAGTTTTGGATGCCACACTGGAACATTTTTATCCCTAACTTTGTAGATAATGGGGAAATAGTAAACTTTATTTGCAATATGAAAAATAGTTACAATTGAACTGTGCAAGATTAATAGAACTGTAAAGAATAAATTGGAGTAGGGAGGCAGATAGAGTGTGAGAGATCAGTTAAAAGGCCATTAGTGGGGGGCCACCCCGGTGGCGCAAGTGATTAAGTGCACGCGCTCCTCTGGGGCGGCCCGGGGTTCGCCAGTTCAGATCCCGGGCGCGCACCAACGCACTTCTTGGCAAGCCATGCTGTGGCAGTGTCCCATATAAAGTGGAGGAAGATGGGCACAGATGTTAGCCCAGGGCCAGTCTTCCTCAGCAAAAAAAAAAAAAAAAAAGAGGAGGATTGGCAAATGTTAGTACAGGGCTGATCTTCCTCACACACACACACACACAGAAAGGCCATTAGTGGTTCAGGTGAGCTCAAGAGGTGGAAACAGGGATGAAAAGGAGATGACGGGTGAAGTAGATATTGCAAGGGTGGATTTTATGATATTTGGTTGTGTAATGGATGTGGGGTTGGAAGGGTGGTGACAGATGTGGAAAGTGGTCCCAATTCTCCTCACATTTGAAGGGATCTTGAAGGATGGATAATATTTTCATGGCAGAGATGGGGAAAAGGCCATTGCAGAGAAAAGAAACATCATGAGTAAAAGCTTAGAAGCCGTGAATATAAGGCAAAGCCAGGAAACTTGGTAGAGCATATTGCTCAACATACTAGTTTGTACATTCCTTAAAAACAAACGCTATGCCTAATTCATTTTTGTGGTCTCTGGAAGAGTGATTCCTAAATACTGGTCCACTGACTGGATGCATCAGAATCACTTGGGGAGCTTTATACATTAGAGGTTTCCAACCCCACCCTCAGATATTTAGATTCAGCAGAGCTAATGTGGGGTCCAGGAAATTTATTTTCAAAAATCTCCCCAGCTAAGGGCAGCCCCGTGGCTTAGCGGTTAAGTGCGTGCGCTCCGCTGCTGGAGGCCCAGGTCCAGATCCTGGGCACGCACCGACGCACCGCTTCTCCAGCCATGCTGAGGTGGCCCCACATACAGCAACTAGAAGGATGTGCAACTATGACATACAACTATCTACTGGGGCTTTGGGGAAAAAAAAGGAAGAGGATTGGCAATAGAGGTTAGCTCAGAGCCAGTCTTCCTCAGCAAAAAAAAAGAAGAGGATTAGCATGAATGTTAGCTCAGGGTTGATCTTCCTCACACACACACCCAAAAAATCCCCCCCAGCTGAATCTAATACAAATCCAAATTTGGGAGCCATACCTTGGTACATTTCAGGACAATGCTGTGCACATATGGGTACTCAATAAATACCTGTTGAACTAAATTAAATTGTGTGTTCTTATCTTTGTGGCCTCCCTATCACCTCACATTCAATATTTGTTCAAAAAATTAAAAAAAAAAAAAAAAAGGGGGCCGGCCCCGTGGCTTTGCGGTTAGGTGCGCGCGCTCTGCTGCTGGTGGCCCGGGTTCGGATCCCGGGCGCGCACTGACGCACCTCTTCTCCGGCCATGCTGAGGCCGCGTCCCGCATACAGCAACTGGAAGGATGTGCAGCTATGACATACAACTATATACTGGGGTTTTGGTGGAAAAATAAATAAATAAAAAAAAAATTAAAAAAAAATATATTTGTTCAATAATTTCCATCATAGCCATTTTCCCAATGCCTCCATCTTCTCACACCCTTGAAGTAATCTTCAACTCCTCTACTATATTTTTGTTTTAACATTCCAGAATCACAAAGTCCTTCCAATTCTTCTACTGCAATTTTTCTTAGATCAATCCCCATTCTTTGCATTTATAATCCATTCTGATAGGCCTTATCATACAAATGGATTACTGCTGGGAAAAGCCAGCCTACTGTTTTCACTTCCACAGACTGCTATTATACACACAACCTTAGAAAAAAATAGATTCCTAATGCTGCGTTTGTCCTGATATTCCACAGCCAGAAAACTATATCGGTTGCTAGAAATGCAAAATTTGCTTGTGAGTGGTTTTCAAGCAGTGATGTTCAACAGAATTCCACAAAGAGACATTTAATTATACATTTGTCTAAGCATCACCTCCAGAAATTCCGAATCTTTGGATCTAGGACGAATCTCTAATATTTTCTATTTTAATAGTTTCCCCAACAACTCCCAGGACTCAAGTTGAAGAACTACCATGCTATGCTGTGGGCAAAAGCTGGGATTACAATGTGGCTGAGCTCCCATACAAGGTTAATCAAGAGGTAACTAGCTTTTAGGGGGAGGGAGAGGAATGGGGGATGGGTAAGGCAATTTCAGGGCACACAGAAAGGGAAAAAACCAAAAGCTCTGGGAACAATGAGTAATCTATTCAAAAGGTCTTGTGATAGTGAGAGAATATGCTGACAGACAGAGTTTTAAAAGTCACAGACTTGTTTACAGATAAAGAGACTATTCAGATCAATTTGTAGACAGAATGTGGTGTATTTTTAAAATAATCTCAGGTAAATTCCCATTGCTGGATCCAGTATCAGCTGAATTATTTGTAAATTCAAAAAAGAAGTATTGCATTTAAGCAGCTCAAATGAAGCTAAAAGTCTTGTGATAATCACATAACACAAGTGACAAAGTAAGGTAGGGAACTAGATTCTTTTAAAGAATAAATTAATATTTTACTAACTTCCAAGTTATATTTTATTAGGATTTTGACTAAGATGGAATAATTTTCCCTGGGGCTGAATATCCTGAAAGTGGGAATGATACTATTTTCACATCGATTTATTTTTAATTTGTCAGCATCTCAAGCTGGAAAGCTGGATGCCGCAATGTTCTACTCTACTGAGAGAGGGGAAACATTTAGTAAAGTCCTGTAATATTAAGAGGATATAGATGTCTACACGTGGTAATTCAGCTAACTGCTTTGGCTGGGTGGGTTTTACTTCACATCTGTTAAACGCCATATTCAATTGAGTCAACTGCTATGCTCAAAATCACTTACTAAAAATATAGGAATCACTTTACAAATGTGGTCTTGGTTTTGGACTAGGAGGAAAGAAAATGAGTGGTCACAGAACCTCCATTTGTCATGTTTTTCGAGTGAAGACAGCTATGCTGTAGTGAAAAGAGCTTTAAACTCAGATTCAAAGTTGAGTTTAAAGTCACGATCTGCTGCCAACTATGTGTTTGGTGGGGTCACCTAATCTCCACCTTCCCCACCTCAAGGGGATCCAAGCACTTGTTCCTCAGCTGCTCAGAGTGTTGGCTGCTGAGAGTTCACAGGTAGGATCCTTCTTTGGATTTGCCTTTGGTCAAAGAGACCTGCTTCACTAAGGTTCCTCTCCTTCTTCAAGGGTGGCCTGTATCCAATGACTGATCCAGGCCAGGGTACATTTCTAAAGGACCATCCCAGACTTGGAGCTTTCCATGGGGTGAGTTAAGGCCTCTAGAGCAACTGTGTCACAGATCAACTCTCTATCTGCCCAATCCTATTACCATCATTCCTTCACAGGTGATGATCTTAAGGGTATTCCTCAATAAACCTACATGTAAGTCTTTATTTCAGAGTCCATTTCCCGGGGAACTTGATCTAAGACTCCTGTGGAAATAAATGAAGACTAACCAAATGTGAATAAGGAAAGGCTATTTATTCAGAGCTTGCTCATAGCATGGAAGTCAACCATCATCACTTGCATTTTAACAGAGAGTGAAGGAAGGCAGAAGAGTGGGAAAGCTTTATAGTGGAAGAAGGGAAGCCTTCAGGTGTCCAGGTCTTATTGCATCCTATGAAAGCAAAATTAAATTCATTGGCTGGTGAAATTGAGCATAAGGTTATCTTGGATTGGGACTGGATAAGACTATCTTCAAATTAAAGGCCCCCAGACCTATGGCCAAGCAGAACTGGGGAAAGGTAGAAATTGCCCACAGGACATTTAGTTTGCAATGAGGGATGGTATGTGTGAGAGTGGGTGGGTGTGAGCGAGATAGCCCCTGTGTCGTGAGAGGGCCAGTTAGTTATCTAGGAGATTGGCTTCACTTTTGGCATATCTTTATGGAATGTGAAACTATTCAAGTTTTTAGGTTTTTTTTTAATGTCAGTTTTTGAATCTCTTTTTCTACATGGATTTTAGGAGACCCATTAATATTCAATATCACTGAATAGCTACTATCCAAGTGATACGTGGTTTTTGTTTCAACTTGACTACTTGGGATGTTGGCTTTTTCTCTGTTTCTCCTCAATTTGAAACTGACTTATTTTACTGATGTAGACTAATCTTCACGTGATTTTGCTTAAC